TTCAACACTGGCCCCATGGAAAAAATGTTGTATACTGCAAGTCTAAACTTGAGTGTACACGAACAGCCTTTTAAAGCCCAGGCAGAACAGCCTGGTTCTCAGCTCCTCTCTGGGCTACTTGTGCAGGCACGAAGGGCCAGCCAGGGCCTCCATGGTCCACTTTCCCTCCAATCAAATTTACATTACCTGAGGAAACCATGTCACTCCCAGTCAGGTCACACATCTAAGACTCAAATCCCTCCCTCTCCACAGCACAGCCACCAGCTGTCCTTAAGATGCAGGCTAGCTCAGGAAGGAAAGACCAAGATCCCTGCAAGGTGTCTGCAGTTGCAGAAACAGAGCATGGACACCACCAACAAGTAGGTGGCAGGGTTGGGCTGGGCTGTATGAGTTTCAGCCTTTTCCAGGCAACTTAAGAAAAGTCCTGGGCCAGCCAGGGGGCCATAAGGGTGGAACCCAGTGTTCCTCTTGACTACTTCTAGTACTTGTCCTTAGGGCAATGTGGAGCACTGGTGCACCCCCATACATTTCATTTTCCTACAAGTCCAAGATTTAAAAAAAAAAAAAAAAAGCAGTCTTTTATTTTAAACCAGCTACACTCTCAAAAAAGCCCAGGATGTTCTTTACATTTTTAGAACAGCTGCCAGTTAATAATGGCAAAGAAAAAAGCACGCTGACCCTCTCAAAGCTGGTGAATATAATTAAGGCTTCTGGGTATAAATGCTACAGGTCTAAATGCCCTGGGATGACCCTATTTTCAGCTGGCCCAGCACAAAGAACCACATCTGGGTTAAAGGTCCCAGGCAAAAGCACTCTGTCGCCTGCAGGGGCATCTGTTCTGGTAAAGAAGATAGGCAGCTGCACTGGGCCAGAGGGTCTTGCATCCTACTGAGCTACTCAGGGATGGTGGGGACTCCTCAAGTTTCCCTGGGTGAGGTCACTTCTCCACAGGATGGCCCAGCAAGCAGACCTGAGGATTTACTCCATCCTCACTGTGGGAAGTTGAGCAATAGCTGCATTCTGGAATTCCAGTTGTATCCTAAGGCCATGCAGTGGCAGAGCACAGACACAGGCAAGGTGAATATTGTGAAGATGTAGTATGTGGCTGGGCCACCCTCCTGACTCTCCAGGAGTTCTCAGATGCAGATGGGGACAAGCCCTGGGATTGGTTTCCTGTGCCATAGACCTTGGAAGACCACTGAGGAATGACTAGACTAGCAGGCCATTGTCCAGGTCTGAGACGCCTCCAGTCTGTAGGACCAGGGCCAAGCACTGCTCCAAGAGGAAGTTGTTCTAGCTGTCCAGCATCTACAACCTCCGGTCCGACAATGGGGCGTACCAGGCCCAGGTGGGCGGGGGCTCGCCAGCTCACAGCACGTGAGGAAGGAGGCAGGGCAGGCAGAAGGCTGAGCGGGTCCACGCGGTTCCTCTGCCGGTAAGGGTCTGGGCGGGAAAGGGCCTCCACAGAGAAGACAGGGCGGGGGAAGCGGCGCTCAAGGCCTCCACCTGGCAGCCACGCGGGAAGTTACAGAAGGCAAGCCGCGGCGATTCTGCCTCTCCGAGCTCTAGGCGCGGCTGAGCCTACTCAGCTCAGCCCCCAGAGACCCCAGCAAACTGCGGACCCCAGCCCGCGCCCCGCGCACTCACCCACGGGCCGGAGCCCGAAATCAGGGACCCCGGCACCCGGCCTGCACCCCTCACTCACTCAGGGACCACCGCGCCCTGGCCCGCAACCCGCACTCATCACAGGTGCCCTGCACCCCGCACTTACCCCACGTGCCCCGCAGTCCCGCACGTGCGCTGATCGCGTTCCCACAGACTAGCTAGAGCCTGGACTGTGCGATCCGCGGCCCTCCGGTTCGCGCGCACACAGACTACAGCGCCCACAATGCAGCGCGGTGAGCGCGGGGGGCCTGCTGGGACGGGCGTGGTCTCAGTGACCACGCCCCTGAGAGAAGGTACTCCAGAGGTGGGTGTGCAGCCGCAAGGACAAACCCTGTGGCGCCACGCCCCTTACGGGTGCGATCTTTTCGGTCCTAGGACTTTCCCAAGTGATAGCAAGAGCCCTCGGGGCACGGACAGACCTACGTGTGTTCTCCAGCGGCTCCTCTGCCCGTGTGCCCTCAAGCTCGTCCCCCGCCTCCACCCTGCGACCTCTGCTGGCCCGACCCTCTTATGTGTCATCACCGCCAGTCCCCTACCACAGCTCGAACCATCCCACCGAGAGTCCACTCCAGAGTGCCGATGACACCTCTGCCCGCTCCCCCATCAGTGGCAACCTAGCCATGACTCAGGTTGGAAGCCATGTGTCCAGCGCTCCTTAGGACCTGTGTCTCCGCCCAGCCAAGAGTCCAGAATGACTGTGCCACACTCCTGCCTGACCATCAGCTGACCAGGCTGGAAGCTGAGATGGGAGGGACTGTGAAGTATGCACATCCCCACCCACCCACCCCGGCGCCCAGCAGGTGGAATGCTTCGCAGAGGGACACTGGCAGCTAGCCATGCTGCTGGAGAACTAGGTTTGGCAAAAGCCCCTGCCTATGCCTCATTCCTTTGCAGTTCTGCAGGCCAAGCCCACAGCAGGAGGGAAACAAAGCCAGTAGGAGTGTGGAGCAAGTGGGCACAAAGAAGTCTGGTGGATAAAACTGAGCAGGTGAAGCTGGGAACACCAGGTCCAGGCAAGAGACAGGCCAGGTCAACCAGTAAGCAGCTGCTGACCCTGCTGGACTTAAGTACCTACAAGGTTACTGGGCACCAGGCACAGCAGAGATAGCTCAGTGTTCTAAGCATTTGTCTGGCCAAGCGCAAGGACTGGGTTTGATCCCCATAACCCCATGCTGTGTTGGCCCTGCCTCTGAGTTTCAGAGTGAGAACCCTATACCAAACACATAAATTTAAATTTTTCTCAGTTTGTCATTTTATTTTCTTTTTTAATGTATTTAGTACCAGGTCTACAGTGTCTCACTACACAGGTTGGACTTGTAGTGATCCTCCTGTTTTCAGCTTTCCAAACACTGGGACATCTCAGCATACAGGCCATGGATTGAGCCTCCAGCCCCTGTGTCTGCCTGTGCAGGTGGCTTAATCCACTGAGCTATCTGGCGGCCCTTAAATTTAAATTTTTTTAAAAATTAAAAACTCAAGTTAAGGGCCAGGGAAATGGCTCGGTAGAATAAGCACTTGCCTGGCAAGCACAAGGGCCTGAGTTCAAAACCCCGGTTCCACACACACACACAAAAAAAAAACTCAAGTTAATGGGCACCTTCTCTGGGCAATAGTCTCCAGTCCTGTGTCCAAAGCAGTGTTCAGGAGGTCCAGGCATCTGGGCAGTGCCTCTCAGACCTCAGACTGGATCAGCTGCAGGAATTGTAGGAAGACCCTTCCCCTCCCCTACCCCATGCAGACAAAGCAGTTCCCTTCTCTCACCCCACAGGGGGTCTTAGCATCCACTGGTCACATGCCACCAAGACAACCTGGCCCCTACCCATGGATTCTCCCTGTGGACAAAACAGCAGAAAAAAATCCCAAACTTTTAAAATAAAAAAGGCTTGAAAGTGGAATCTGCAGTAGCTGGGACAATTTCAGGGAGATCAGATGCTGCTTATACCCCACACTCTCAGGCTTGGGCTCCAGGCTAATCTCCAGATTTAGGCATTGTCCTCAGTGGGGGGCACAGGGCCACCTTCAGTGACCAAGCCCACATAGACATGGTGAGGGGTGCTGGTGCCACCCTCTGGGAACAGAAGGTGGGGAGTGGGTCCCAGATGTCACTGAGGGGAAGTACACAGAAGAGATGCAAGGGGCACAGCCAGGAGGAACCTGCCCACTGAGGCAATGATAGTGCCCCCCTGTGGGCAGCACCTGCCAGCCTGTCCAGCACCTCTGAGCCCACCTGGATGGGCACAGGCGTGCCCATGCCACACTGCAGATCTCCTGGCCACAGGAAGCACATGGTTCCTGCAAGAGTGGCTGTGAGCAAAGGGGACCATGGTGATTTGCAGTCCAGGCCACTATAGGAAGGGTTTCCAGAAACCTCTGGGTACATGTGGTCCAGGACCTACTTTGTTATGAGAAAAGCGTCAATTGCTCACAAAGGTCAAGACATGCAGAAACATGTTCTGGTAGTGAGCAGACCTGTCTCTGGGCCCTGCACATCAGTTGTCACATATTTTAAGAGGATCTCGCATATTTGTACATGTGCTATGCAGCATGGACTGCTGGGAATGTGGCAGATCAGAGTGAGTACTGGTCCCTGGGTGGCCTGTAGGCTGAAGAGTTCACCTGGCTCAGCAGGCTCACAGAGACCCTTCTCCTTCCCTGCCCTATGGTGAGTCAGATGAACCAGCAGCTCTACTCACAGCAGTAGGCAGGGATCTCTCAGGGTGTCCCTGTGTGGCACCAAATAGAGCCCACGTCCCTGAGAACCAGGATTGCCTGCCATCTGTGGCCAACTACAGCCTCCTGTCCCCACCTTCTACCAGCAGGACCTCAGGAGAGGCTGGTCCAGGGATCAGGGGCTCTGAGGTGGGAGCATGTCTCAGGAACCACTTAACTCCAAGCCTCAGTTTCCCTGCAGTGAGCCAGTGATAAGAACTAGATTAGGCGGGCCCTTGGCACAGTCACGGCCTCTAATGGTTGTGCTCACTGACAGTCACCTGGCACAGTGGCCACTTCTTGCCACAGCCCACACATGGAAGCACAGACAGGTCCAGTCAGAGGAGGGCAAGAGGGGGTCCCAGCCCACTCTTTCTAGTTGGTTAGTGCACAGCTGAGCTGGGAGTGCTGTGTGAGTCTGGGGTGCTCTGGATGAAGGACTTGGCCACCAGATACCCCCAACTCACCCAGCCCAGGGCTCCCACAGCACATCTCCCCCACCTCAGTTAGAGCCAGTACTTGTGATCTTGAGTCAGAACTGTGGTTTCCTTGAACAAGGTCTAGCTCAGAGACACAGCCTGGATGTCAGCCCAGATTTTAGCAGGGCTCAGCCAGTCACTCATCCCTGGGCTCCTGCAGGGGGCTTCTCCTAGTGGACCCAGTGTCAGTGCTGCCAAACCCAGCCATGAAACACAGCCCACAGCAGCAGACAGACGGTCCACCCCCCAGAGCAGGGTTCCATGTGTGAAGGGATGGAGCACCACCGTCACTTAGCATAGAAGTGCATGGTCATGAGGAGAGGAGAGGAGAGCCAGTGTGGTATGCTGACCTTGGCCCAAGAGACCTGAGAAGGGGTTTGAGGGGAGAGACAGAGACACAAGTATGTGGGCCCTGGGGGTCAGGGTGGTGCATTTCCAATAGTTTGAGTTTCTGCCACTCCTGACCCTCCAGTCAAGGCCTCACACACACACTCACTTGTGGCCAGCATTGGTCACAGGCTCACAAGTGCCCTACCCTTCTGTGAGCAGATCGCTTGAGGAAGCCAAGACCCAACCCTGAGGCCTAGCAAGGCCCAACATACAGAAGATCCAGGAGAGTAGCATCCAGGGCCAGGCTCCTGGTGAGACCTGGTGGGCCATGGATGTAACTGTCCCCTCCCCTCCACAGCATCCTGAGTATAGGCCAGCTGCTCGTCATGCTCATCCAGTGTTCCTTGCCTGATTGTACCCAGGACATGGCTGGCTCTGACAGCCTCACAGTGTTCTGTTATACCGAGCACCACTGCTTGCATAGTGACCACTAGCACCCACAAAAACTGCTGCATTCCTGACTTCCTCTCTGAATAGCACCAGGTGTCTGTCCCTTCTGCTCAAGCCCTCCTGACTCTGGGATCTGTACCTGCTTAGGACCACAGTGTTTACTCTTGGCCATCAATCTGCTCTGGGCCTTGCTGCCTAAGTCTTGTGGAGCAGGACAGGGCTCTTCTGCCCTCTACCTACCCTCTTCTGCCTGTCTTCTTGTGGCCTTAGTGGACTGGTCCCCAGTGGCTCTGGCCCCATTGAGTGACTGTGTGAGGGTGAAGACGGGCTGCCCTGCACTGCAGGTAAGGACCTGGATGTGGCCTGGTGAGGACCCAGTTAGACACCCCAGCCCTCAGGAACCCCCTCCTTGGGGAGCAGACCCTCACCTCACCTCCTTGGTCACCTCAGGTCCTAGCAGTGTGTCCACCCTACTTCACCCTTTCCCTGGACGCACACCCCTGGGCTGGGTTTCTACCCTGATCCTGATAGCACCCCCTACAGCATCAGGACCACCTACTGGGGGTGGGAGAAGGAGCCATGTCCTGGACCAGCAGTCAGCCAACAGTCAGATTGACAATGTCAGACAGGAACAGGATGAACCCAAGATGCAGGGCCAGTGGGAATGGGGCCAGGGCAAGGTGGGGTTGGAAGGTGACCACTTTGGAAGCCTGACCCTGTTCTCATTGCCAGAACCTACACGAGAGCCACTTGACACATCCTAGGGGACAGAGTACTCTGGGGCCCCACCATGCCCAGAGAGACCACACTGGCTGTAAATAAGTTGCTTAAGAAACTGCAGGTGATGTTATTAGCAGTGTTGCAAGAGCAAGAGTGGTGTGCCTTAGCTGGGGAGCCCACCCTGGAGAGTCAATGGGATTCAGCAGGAAAGGGAGAGAAGTGAAAGGGAAGAGGTACGCTCTGTCCACAGAGGGCCTGCCAGTGCCAAAACCTGCTAACAAATCTACCAAAACATTAGAAAAGGGTCAATTAAGCCCTTCGATAGCATAGACCAATTTACTAACATCACAAGTTACAAAGTCAATATATGAAGTTGATTGTGCCTCTAAATACTAGCTAATTCTTGATGTATCCATTAGGGTTCCCGAGAAGAATAGATTTAGTATAATACTGGATAGATAGATTTACAATGGCTGCCTGCAGAGTCAGGTAAGGGTGGTATAAGGGCCATCTGTGTGCTGAAGAGCTGAAT